ACGGCCCCGCCCAGAAGGCCTTCAAAAGGACGCAAATGGCCCGAAGAAAACAATATCAAACATTTCCCGTGAACATGTTGACGGATTTCCTTCTTGTTCTCGCCGTTCTGGGCATCTGACGGCCCACGACCCAGTCAGCCCGACAGAATCCCAGGACGGGCCAACCAACAAAAACAAGAGTTCCAAGACGGCACCAGAGGCCTTAAATGCGAACTCGTGACACGGGCCCCTAGATGGCCCAATAGACCTCCAAGATGGCCCCAAAGAGGCCCCATGACGTCCGAGAAGGGCCTCACCTCCGAGGGCGTCCTCCGGGGGGCTTCACCCCAAAATCCAAACTGCCCAGCACGTCCACGAAAAGGCTACGATCGGGTCGGACGAAAAGAGGGGATAGCAAAGGGGGGAAGTTGGCGAATCAGATCTCTTGGCTGATTTCCCCGGCACTCCCCTGCGCAGGAAGCGCCAATGCATCGAGGAATGGAACCCGCGGCGGGGCGGAAACCAGCTGCATGCAACAGACCTCGCCCCCCACCAGTCACCTATCATGCCCTTTCGCCAGGCCCGGCAAGGAGTTATCAACAGGATGCCCCAAGAACCTCCTGTCCGGGGCCCCCAGCGCCCCATGAACCCCCCAGGAGAACCCCGAGAGGCCCATGCGAGGCCTCCTCCTCCTCCTTCTCCACCACCTCCTCTTTCTCATTCTGGTCCTCATGCCCACGCCTCTGCTCACAGTTGCGGTGCAAATTTTCGCGCGCTGCCTCGCGAGCATCGCACGGACAAGCACGCCTGCTTACCCCGTGGGCCGCATATGGAGACAGGCGAAGTGTACACAACAAGAGCCGACATGGTAGCGCAACGCATGCACAACAAGTGGACAGCGCAGCGCAGCCAAAACTCTACCCTGGCAACTACCCGTAGAGATGGAATCCAAAAACGCGCGAAACTGGACCAGACAAGAGGCGACCAACATGTGAGCGCAAACGTGCAAGCGCCTCCTTAAACGTGCTGCGCTAGTCAAAATGTCGCAAAGTGCCGCGTCACGCAGAATGGTTGACATCGTCTCCAATACGTGTGTAGACGGGCACCAGGATCTCAACTCGCCCTGAGCTCGAATCTCCGCCACAGCGGCACGCGATGATAATCCGGAGGCGGGTTCAGCTAGCACTCCGTAGTGGGTGCCATCTCGAGCCCTCCAGTAATAATGCAATTGGTTAGTATTTGTCATACGCATGGGCATAAACACCCTGCTGTCATACTTGGTTAAGAGCGTATGCAAGACTCTCACGTGTCGTACATTGATAACTGTGGTGTCTTCTCGCCGTACTTTCTCTTGCAAAAGCAATTGGCGAACCTTGATGCGCCAGTTCCTAGTCCGCGCCCGCTCTTGGGGAAAAAAACGAGGGGGGGGAAAAAAAAACAAAAAAAAAAAAAACGTCGCACTCGCGTCGCTCCCCAACACGACATTGAAATAAACACAGATATGTTTGATAACTGATTGTACTTCTAACGCGACTGCTCCCCCATTCAACGTGCACTGCGTCTCTTTACCGCATACAGACCCGACCTGGCTACAATCCGCATGCGTATCCACGTCTGTCGCTTTTCTTGAAATAGTTGCCCAACTCCACGAAGCTTTTTTCCACGCCGCTTCAGGCGTGAGCTACCATAGGGCGCGCGAGTCCTGAGCTAGAAACTTTATGCCTGAGCGGTCCTATGCAGAGATGGCTCGAGCCACAATAGTTTGACATTTGCTTACTTCATGTTTCGGCCGGGGTTCCTCATCTTCTTCTCCGCACGGATGCTTGTCGCCTGGCATCTCTCATATCGCACTGAACTGATCGAGGGTTATCGCCCTAACACAAATGCAACGTGCCTTTGATCGGCCTCGTGCCATGATCCGTCCTGGCTCAATTTCGCGACTCGGTTGGGAATCCTGATCGACTTCGCATATGTGGGTCTTGGTCCGAATCTGCTCGGATCGCAACTGCAATGTTCTGTTTGGTTCCTCCTTCGAACCAGTCAAGCTGCGTCGTTGCCCAACCGCTTAGAATCGCAACCATGACTGCAAGCCAGACCCGCCGCGTCTTTTGCTTCAACGCACAAGGGGGCGCTTCCCAGTTGTCAAAACCGGCGTCCCGCGCGAAGTCCAAGAAGCCCCCCCTGCTCCAAGCGGCGCCTCGAAGGCTGCGCCTCGACTTCGGCGCCCTTCGAAGCGCGCCCGGTGCACGGCGTGCTCCGGATAGCCCGATGAAAATGTTCCTGTGAGCCTCGGCGAGAAATATGCCCGTTAAACATGTTGTAAGCCCAGCTCCTCTCGCGATGAGCCACGCCTTTGTGCCCTTTGGCTTCATGCTTCGCCGCATCAAGACCCCTCGCGCCTCGCGCGCCCTCGAAGTTTTCGACGGCCCCTGGCGTCAGTGCGAAGCGCATCTCTCTTGGCGACGTTGGGTGTCTTGGGTAGCGCGGCGCGCGATTGCAATGGCCGCGCTGCGCGCGCCTCCTCTGACCTTCCCCTTCGCCCCTTTCCTCCAATGTCACTGACCTCGCAGGTCTCGAGCATGCGGCCCGTGATCCGGCGCAGAAATGCACGCCGCATTGGCCCTGCTCTTCAGGGAAGCATTAGACGTGATGTGCAATCAGATTGTCTGGCATTAGTTAAAGCTGGTCAATTTCCACGGCCGTTTGGATCGCCCCCGGCCGCGCGAATCTCTGCGACTCCGTCTAGTTGGTTCAAATGCCCCAATTGACCTCGAGACCACAAGTTTCGAATTGGCACCCCAGTCGGGAACCGGTCGCCATTTTGACTGCCACGCCATCAAGCATAGCTCGACAGAAACGGTTCTGACATACTTCTGATCTCTTCGCGCTGCCTCCCCCGAATAAGTCAGTGCGTCGGCGACGGCGTTGACAGTTTGCACCGGGGGCTCTTCCAATGTAGGAGCTGTTCCTCGTGGGCCGCGTGGGTTTCCCTATGGGCCCATGTTCTTCTTTTGACGACCGCTTTCAGCAGAACAACGCACGTCGCCACGGCGCGCCCGCGCGCCACCGCGGCCCGACTCGCGGCCCCCGAATGATGTCGGAAGAGGAAATATGACATTCCTTCCATGGGCCGCACATACTTCCGACGCGCAGTTGGAATGCTTAACCTCGCAACCCAATCTTTCCAGCCGCTTCGTAATGAAGGCTTGTGACTCGCAGGAGGCGGCGCACATTGGGCCCGCTGACCCTGCGCGGGCGATAATAATCCCACGGGGATAATAAAGTTCGGGGTTCTGGCGGGGATCATAAAAGATTTCCCCGGGGAAGGTAAGTCATGATGATGATGACGGTGACGACGATGATGGTGGTGAGAATCCCACAGCCCTGCCACGCGCTCGTGATTGTATAAGTTTGTGTGGGGAGACCACAATGGCCATGTTCAGCGTTTTGATGGTGTGGTGAGACCACCATGGCCATGTTCACTGGCCCCAAGATCGATTTTCACTTGTTTGGGGGATTCGGGGCCTCAAGTTATTTATTTGTTAAAACTGAACATGTTTAACCGTTTTCAATATCGCATGTAGGCGTGTCCATGGTGGGACCCAGCGGGGGGGAAACAAAAACCCGGGATAAAGCAGTTCGGGCACTGGGGGGGAGGAGGGGGAGGAGGAGAACGAGAAGGAAGAGAAGGAAGAGGAAAAGGAAGAGGAGGAAGAGGAAGAAGACAAGGAAGAGGAAGAGGAGGATACCAAGAGCGTGTTTGATGCTTTTGCTAGTCAACATGAGATGATAGCAACTTCGACTCGCAACTTCCACGGTGAAACTTGAAAGTTCGGCTTTCGCGCCCCAATCCACAATTACACCCTGTTGAGCGGCGATTATGAAAAAAGAGGGGGTGGGTGGTGGGGGGGGTACTTAATTATCGCCCGCCCAGGGCTATCGACAGCAAAGCTGCTTTGCTCATGAATATTATCCCTTGTTTGCGCGCGCGTTGCCTCGTAATCAAAAATCCGGCGGGCTTCGAACTCCACCGCGGGTGGTCAAGATCACGAGTTCTATTTTCAATTTTCTCTTCCATTCCAGCGACCCGGACTGGTGAGGGGGCCTCGGAAACGCGCAACTGCGAATTGAGCTGGGCTGCGCCGCATGGCCTCGCCGACCTCGATTGCGTTGACCTGTTTAATGAAGCTTCAGTTGGCACCGAATAGACACTCCACCTCTTCCGCATCAAATCCCACCATATTCAACAAATCGCGTACCTCCCAAATGCTGATGCTGTCCTATCCTTCGTCCGTATCTGGTTGGCTTTGAAGTCGGTGTTTACGTTCCTGACGTTTTATTCTTGTTACCGGCGTCCAAATCAAACCAACTCTTCGGATCTCGGGTAACGTCACATCGAAACCCGGATCAGCTGTGTCTGGGTGCGGTGGCACCGCCGCGGCTGCAGATGCGGCCATCGCAGCAAAGCAACTGCTTTGCGGAAATAACAGCGCGCTCTGGAAACAGTGGGGCAAACCATGGGCCCCACTTCCGTGGAAATGTGATAGGAGCCTGTATTTTTTGTTTCTTGGACGCAAGCAAAACTTGAGCCAAACAGTTGCGCTGCATGTTTTCGCGCGTTGCCTCGAGAACGTTGCACGGACAGGCACAACAGCTCACCCAGTCGGAACGTATCAACGAACAGCTCCTGCTACTCCTTTTTCTCTTCCGCCTCCTCCTCCTCCTCCTCCCTTATTACCCTCTTATTCACAGACTGTTGTTGTTGCATCTCTCTCTCTCTTTCTGTTGCTCACGCTATCGTGTTTTGTTTGTTTGTTTGGTGTGTTTCTCTCTCTCTCTCTCTCTCTCAATGTCGTTATCTTTATCTCTCCCTCTCTCCTCTCTTTGTTCTCTCTCTCTCTCTCTCTCTCCCTCTCGCTCTGTCGATGTGTATATATATATATATATGTGTATGTTACTTATGTTTGCCCTACCTTCCCAAGCATGCTCCTCCCTCCCCCCGCACGCTCCCCAAAGCTTTTTCACCAACAGCTGAAGGGCCGCGTAATCGAATGACAGCTTGGCCGAGCTAACGCCCCCACCGATGGGCAACCCAGGTGCCCCCCACAGAGAGGCAGGGGGCGGCGATGCCTCGCCGCAGGCGCCCTCGGATCTGCCGAGGTACTCCTGCTCGGGCATCATCGTCTCGACGTGCTCTGGGTGGGACCAGTCTGCGAGCTCATCGGCCACCACAGAAAAGAAACAACGGCTCCCTCGCCATCGCTCGGACGTCCATTCCCTGTGTCTTTTTCGAATTCGTGTGTGGTTGTCGCCAAATGATCGAGGATGCTCCTCGATGGTCCTCGCCGAAGGAAAAATGCACACGTCCGAGCGATGCCAAGCCCCACACGCAGCAAGCCGTCGGAGGCCCGCGCGGCCTCCCCGAGGACCCCCATGCCCTTGGGCAGGGGACGTTTGGGATGGGGAGCCTTTCCCGCAGATGTAGCAACCCAAACCGTCCAGATCTATGATCCCTGATGCAGAGACGGTGGCCTAAATGAGGCCACGGCTTCACTCTGTGATTCGGGTCACGGGTTCTCTTATCCTCGGTGATGCCCGGCGCGAGACACCCGCACAGGGGGTGGAGCCGGAGGCGCCGCCAGAGGGCGGGGGCTCAGCGCCGCTCCGAGACATCCGCGCGCGGGTCTCTCAAGTTTGATGCTCTCCTGTGCCGTCTTTTCTTCTCCGACATCCCGGCGGCGAGGCAGGGGGCAAACGAGCGACAATCAGAAACGGGTCTTAATTACGCGAGATGGCATAGCGACCTTACGCAGCGGCTCGCGCGGGCCGCTGGCGCGGCACGCCACATTAGAGACGAGGGCGCTTACGCCGCCCGCATCGTCGGAGGAGGCCTGGAAGACTTCTTGGAAGGCGCCAGGGCCCCTGGGAAGCCTCGCCGCATTCTGAGAAGGCCTGCCCTTGAGGCGAAGAGAATGGGGACCATGACCACGACTGAATGCTGAAGCGTCGTGACGACCTTGGTCACCGTCGATCTTGGTTTAGGTCGGGCATGTCCCCCTACAGGCGGATGTTGGGCGAACAGAAATCAGAGAGCAAAACAAAAATATAAAAAACACATAATTGAAAAAAAAAAAAACGTCCCCGTACTATGTTGTACGATTGTTAAACATTCCTCTTATAGAGGGACATGCCCGACTTAAATCTTGGTCGGCGTCGACATCTCTAGGGGAACAAAAAATGACATACACATAACAACTCGGAGGTCCGCGCGGATTTCTCGGATCGGCGCTGGACCCCTCTCCCTGGCGCGCTCCGCGCGCCAGGGGCGGCGCCGGAGGCGCCGCCGGGGGGCCCCAGCGCCGATCCGAGAAATCCGCGCGGACCTCCAAGTTTTTATGTTTATGTCACTGTTTGTTCCCCTAATCTTGGCCACGGTCCCCGAGCTTCTGCCCTCGATGCCCCCCCCACTCCTGGGAAACCAGGAGGGTACCGATGCCGCTGCTCCCAGGACCTCGCCCGGGGTGCGGTCTGACCAGGATCAAGGGGCCCAGGGACGCACAAATAAATACACACAAGTAACCGGATTCCCCATACTTTCCAGTATCTTCTGGGTTTTTGTCTCCCCCCCATATTTTCCCATATTTTCCGGGGAATCGACGATTCATTGTGTCTGTGTTTTTTTCCCTCCTGACAGGATTTCGAGGCGAATCGAGCGGTGGCGACGAGGGCCTTCTGGGAGACCCAGAAGGGCGAGAACGAGGCAAGGGTAGCAGTATGAGCACCTTCTCCTCCTCAGTAGACTCGCGACTGTCCGCGCGGACTTCTTGGATCGGCGCTGGGCGCGAAGCGCGCCAGGGGCGGCGCTGGGGGCGGCGCCAAGAGAGGGGGGGGGGCTGCGCCTGTCCAAGAACTCCGCGCGGAGCTCCGACAGTCTCAGTGTCTGTGCCGCTGGCATTTTCTTCCCTCGATGCCCACCGACACCTTCTCGGCGGACCTCCGCGTGACGAGAGGGCGATGGGCGAGCTGGGATCCAATCTGGCTCTGGAGGAGAAGGCCCGACACGGGATCCTGGAGGCCACCCTCCAGACGGGAGGGGGGAAGGCAGAGACGGAGCACCACGCGGGCTCCAGAGAGCTGGCCTGGCCGACTTCCCCTCCCCCCGGGATGAGAATGCCGGCTGTTCCCTTCTGGTCTCGGGCTGGCAATCGGACCCCGGTCGGGAGGACCTGCCTCGAGTACACGAGGCCCCCCGTCGGGCAACACAGGTCCAAGGGCACCCTCCCCGGGATGCACGAGGACATCCAACAAGCATGGACAACGCTCGGGGGTACCCTCCCCCAGCCGACTTCGCTTTCGGAGGCAACTCACGGGAGCCTCCCATACCATCTCATCGGCTCTTGCCAGTCGACGCAAATCGACGCCAAATCGACGCGAGTCGACGCGAAATCGACGCCGATATGCGCTAACCGACCCCACAGCGGCGCTATCTCATCGACTCCCAGACCGCTGACCGACGCTGAAAGCAGACTTGCGAGGATGCGCTACGGCTCCCCCTGTGGGATCTGTGCTTGTTGTCCCGCTTCATGTTGCTGTTGCACCGCACTCGATCCCGCACCTCGGTCCTGCCGTACCGCCTCTGACCTCTCGCCCCCCGCCCTCGCCTCGCCGCCGCGCATCACCTCGAACACCTCGGGGTCGGGCCGCAGCAGCACCACGCCCGCGTTGATGCCGCACCCCTGGCCGTGGGAGGGCAGCCGCTCCCTGCGGCGCCGCTCGGGGTCGCTCCAGACCTCGAGGGGGCGCCCGGAGAGCCCCGGAGACGGGCGGCGCGCACAGGCGAAGGGGCCCAGGGGCACACCCAAGAAAGACACACTAGTCCCATGGTATACCCCATACTTCCTCGCGTTTTCTTGAGTTCCGTCTTCCCCCCCCCCCCCCCCCACTTCCCATCTTTTCACGTGTATGTTCCGAGGGATCCGCGGCTACTTGTGTCTGTGTGTGTGTTTCCCCCTCCTGAACAAGGGTGCATGGGGGCATGGGGAAGGGAAGGCTTCTCAGAAGGAGGCTGCCTCTCAGAAGGCGCCGGCCCTGCGTCTACAGACAAGGCCCGCGCCTTATGAGAAGCAGGGCGCCTCAAAGGAGCCGTCCCCCCTCCCCCCTCTGCGCGTGGCTGACATAAGCAGACTCACGTTCCAGGATGTCCCCATCTATTCCCATATCTTGTGGATTCTCTTCCCCCCCAATTAGGAGGCCTCCTAGATGGGGTCGGAGTAAACGGGGTCGGAGGATCGCGCCGCATCGCCGATACATTGGCGATGCATCGGAGAAGTCGGCGACACATCCGCGACGTCGGCGTGAAGCAAATCGGGATCCACATCGAGCCGCATCGGCGATGCATCGGCGATGCTCCGACCCCATCTGCTCCGACCCCACCTGGGAGGCCTAGATCCATTGCCAATCTTTCCCCAGATGCTCCTGGGCACCGACGCCTGTTTGTGCCCGCGCTTGTTTCTGCCTCGTCGAGACCGCCGTGTAGGGCACTCGGCGGCCGTGCGCGGGCGAGGCGAAGCCGCGGCGCCCGCGGACCCGCCGACCCCCTTGGGAGGGGTGCCCCGGAGGTCGGAGACCTCTCCCGCAAGAGTTCGGAGAGCTTTCGAACGAGTTCGCAAAACAGCAGCCTGGCGAAGGGCCCCACCTGATGCAGTGAGGAGTAACGCAATTGTGAGTATCGTCTTCGGTGGAGCTCCTTATGGGGCCCGTGAGGTCGAAGACCTCTCCGAAAGGCTGCGGGGGATTCTTGAACGAATTCCCAAAAAACGATGCCCCATAGAACAGCATGTGTAGAACGGTGTTTAACCACATTCGCAAAAGTATCGAAGGGTGCAGTGCAAGTCTACACATGAACACTTAGAAATAGGTCTTTGCACGAATCGACCGACAACAACGGATCTCTCCAGAACGGAATGTGCACAACGGTGTTCCACCGCATTCGACACATGATCAGTACATGCCGTTCTACACAAGCATCGAGACCTGTCAAAATCCTTCCGAAACTGTTCTACGCCTGCCCTTCTGTAGGGGACCAAAAAGTGACATAAACATAACAACTCGGAGTTCCGCGCGGATTTCTCGGATCGGCGTTGGGGCCCCCCGGCGGCGCCTCCGGCGCCGCCCCTGGCGCGCTCCGCGCGCCAGGGAGAGGGGTCCAGCGCCGATCCGAGAAATCCGCGCGGACCTCCGAGTTGTTATGTGTATGTATTTGTTTGTTCCCCTATGCTGTGCGTGGGATGTTTTGTCACTTTTTATGTTTATGTTTGTGCCGCTGCCGCGGCCCGCTCTGGAGAGACGCCTCGCCTCCACGGCCGGAGGACCCTCGCGCTCCTGGGCGGAGCGCGCCCCGGGAGACGTGCGGTATGCAGAGGCAGCGGTGCTTTTGAGTCGGGCGGCGTCCCCCGACAGGGGGATTTTCGGCGACAAATACTCGAAAGAGATGCCCAAACATACTCCAAACATGGTTCCCCCACTCTTTTTCCTTCCTTTGTTTTTTTTCAACAAAAAAATAAATGTTTCCCCCTGTAGAAAGACAGGCCCGACTCAACGGTGCTTCCTCCCTCCCCCGAGAACACAACCAGAGAGGATCGGTTGGAGATCGTTCCTTGTCTCCGAAGCCCAGCGGCTACGTGCCTGACACCAGCCCGAAGGCCTGTTCAGCTGCGTCCGAGCCCAGGAACTACGATCCAGAATTCACGACTCCGGTCGTTGGAGGGAGGCAGATACTCTACCGTTGCGGTTCTGCGGCGACGGAGTCAGTGGAGGGAGAGAGAAAGAGAGAGGCTGACCGAAGGAGGTGTCTCAAGTGTGAGCTCAAGCGTGGATCGAACCCCGCCCGAATCGCTGGTGGGATCCACTTGAACGTGTCCTTCCCCTGGTCGAACAAACAGCGACATGAACACATCAACTCGAAAGTCCCCGCGGATTCCTCGGATCGACGCTGGGGCCCTTTGGCGGCGCCTCTGGCGCCGCCCCTGGCGCCCAGAGTGCGCCGATGCAGGGGCCCTGGCGCCGATCCGAGGAGTCCCCGTGGACCTCCGAGTTGCTATGCTCATGCCACTGCTGGTTCCCCGATTTTCGGAAACCAAGAGGTACCCATGCCGCTGCTCCCCAGACCTCTCCAGGGGGGCGCTCTGACCAGAGTTTCGAGGCGAGGTGGCGACGATGGTACGCCGTACCAGGTACGGACACCATTTTCTCCTCTGATTTCAGCCCATCCAGACTCGCCATCGCTCGGACGTCCATACCCCGTGCCTTTTTTCCATTTTCCTGCGCGCATCTTGTCGCAAGCTGACCCAAATTAGCCCTCGATGGTCCCTGCCAGAAAAGAGCACACGTCCGAGCGATGCCAAGCAGCGTGGCCACGTAGAGGCCTCCCAGATGGGGTCGGTGTATATGGGGTCGAAGGATCGCGCCACATCGCCAATGTATCGCCGATGTATCGGCGATGCATCGGCGACGTCGGCGAAGCATCCGCGACGTCGCCGTAGGGAACATCGACCTCCACATCGAGCCGCATCGCCGATGCATCGACGACGCGGCGCGATCCTCCGACCACATCTGCTCGGACCTCAAGATGGGAGGGGGGAAGGGGGGGGGAACGGTGCCATCTGCGGGGCCCACATGAGAGGCCCCCTTTTCGAGCCCGAGAGGGCCCCCTTCTCGGGGCCCTCACGGGCCCCCCGTCGGCAGCCCTCGCTGCCCCCGATTCTGCAGATGGATGGGAGGGGGGGAGGAGGAGGAGGAGGAGGAGGAGGAGGAGACGGGAGGAGGAGGAGGAGGAGGAGGAGAGGAGGAGGAGGAGGACGGAGGAGAGGAGGAGGAGGAGGAGGAGGAGGAGGAGGAGGAGGAGGAGCCCACATGAGAGGCCCTCCTGTCGAGCCCGAGAGGGCCCCTCCCGGGGCCCTCGCGGGCCCCCCGTCGGCAACCCCCGCCTGCCCCCGAGCCTGCGCGGACGCTGGGACGGGCGGGGGCGCCGCCGCTGGGCCTCCGCCGGCCCTCCCGCGACGGGGGTGCCCGTCCGGCCACGCGCCCCGGCCGCGAGGCGGTGTGCTATCATGGCAGCCTCGCCCCCTCGTCGTTCCCCTCAGTCCTCGTCGTCGTCCCCTCGTCGTCGTCGTCGTTCCCTCGTCGTCGTTCCCTCGTCGTCGTTCCCCCTCTTTGCCACGGGGCTCCTCCGCGCAGGTGAAGAGGTGTTATCATGGCAACCGGGGGGGCTGGAAGATCGGACGGGGTTTTAAAGGAACATCGCTCGAAACCGCCCCTGGAAGAGGGGCGTGTGAGCATCCAGCTGGGTTCGTTCCCGAATCCCCCCTTTGGGACACCGCCCCTGCGCACCCCGGACGAATGGGCGTGATGTGATGGAGGGTCGGTCCAATCGTGTCCCTCGCCCGCGAAGCGGTGTGCTATCATGGCGGCTGGAGGGGACAGCTGGAAGAGGGTGGCCATCTCGGTGGCGTCGCGCACGAGGAGGTCGGTGTCCAGGAGGAGCACGAGGTCCAGGTCCTTCAGCTGTAGCACCCGCAGCTTGGTGAAGACCTCGAAGAATCGGCTCGACGACCGGAAGCAGCGCGACGACACATCGGTCACGTACTCCACCTTTGAGGGGGGAAAAAACAAGGGGGGGGCTGGCTCAGGAGGAGAAGCTCGACAGATCGGCGGCGGGGTCCCCGATAGCGAGGCGGCACATTCTTGCGCGGCGTGTGCCGTCGGGCCCCTATCGGTGTTGAAAGGGGGCGGGGTCTCCCGGCCACTTGCAGACTTGGTGCTCGCCCTGCCAATGCTCTGCTCTCCTAGGGCTTTGCAGCGTTGTCCGCACATTGCTTCTGCATGTCCGAGCTCCGTAGCTGCCTGCACGCCCTCCTGTGCTCAGCTGCGTTCTTGCTCTCATGGACACGTCGCAGGCCTGACGAAAGCTTGAGAAGCCTCCCCCGACGTTGCCCCACCTCCGTCAGCTCCCACCCGACAGCACTCAGCGCTGCCAAGTACGCCGCGGGCACGTCGCTCGTGTGCATGAGCACCTTCCTCGGGGCCTCGGGTCCAGTGCCCCCCGCAGCCAGCCCAGCTCCGAGCACGAGCGCGCCCAAGAAATAATCGGTAGCAACTCACTGGAGTCTCCCGTCCCGTACCATCTTGCTGGATCGAGCGAGTCGAAGCTAACCGAGGCCAATCGACCCAAGAAATCCGCGCGGACCGTAGACGATTTGTGTTTATGCCGGTTTCTTCCTCTGAGACTGAGAGTAACCAACAAAACCAACTCCTAATTACAGTCAACCAAGATAATAAGGATGGGCCAACTTTCCAAGGCTACCCTCGCATCCTTGCCCCTTCGGTATTCGGCATCCTTCGGCATTCTGCTGCGCTCCGCATAGAAAACGTCAACATGGCGTCCCAAGGCCCTTGCATCCTTACCGCGCATCCTTCCTATCCTGGTCGAGTGTAATCCTTCAAGAGGGGACCTAAGTTAGGAGGGCCAGAAGCATGAGGGGCTGTGGCTCTTCTGCGCAGAGGCATCGAACCAAACGGCCGCCCACGATGAGTATCCCCGATGCAAAGACTGGGACCTCAGTGAGACCACGTCTCCACTGTGGTATTAGGGCTGGGGGTTCTGCTGTTCCCGATGAATCGGCGGTGGACAAACCTCCCTTTCGTAAACCTCCCTTTAGTGAAAACGGCCTGGGACCGAAACCGACGGACCTGGACCCGCAAAAAATGACGGCCGCGACGCCCTCTCGCGACCCGAAAACGGCCAATTCCTTAATCGACGTGTCAGGGTAGGAGGTCCGTCCACCTCCGAATGATAATCAAGGCGACGAGATAAGATCTGTACGTTAGATGCTCATTCTGGGGACCTTCCTGGAGCCACTCGCTCCACTCGTGCGTCGAAGCTGTGTCGAACCTGAGTCGAACCTGAGTCGATCCTGAGTCGAATCTGAGTCGAATCTGAGCCGAACCTGAGTCGCACTTGAGTCGAACCCGAGTCGAACAGATCCATTGGGTGGGCCCCATGAAGGTCCCCAAAACGAGCATCGAATGTAGCCAGGCGCATCGCGGGCCAGGAGCGGTGCAAGCGCCCCCCCCGGCTCGGCCCGGCTCGGCCCGGGAGGCAGGCGCACCGCTCCGGAGCCCAGGGAGGGGCCCGACCAGCGGCGGTGAACACGTGCAGATCTCCTCGCCCTGCGCGTGTCCTCGGGAGTCCGTCCCCTGCCGTCGCTCGGCCGTCCATTTCCCGTGCATTTTTCGGTTCCGTGCGTGTTTCCTTTGCTCGATGGTCCAGGATGGTCCTCGATGGTCCTCGCCGAGAAAAAATGCACACGTCCGAGCGATGCCAGGGTCCTCGGGAATGCACTCGCGTGCGTCAGTGTGCTTTCGTCGATGAGAGAGCGCCGACTGTGCGCCGACGAGCGTCGGTTTGGCGTCCACCAGCGTCGAGCAGCGTCGGATGGCCTCGGTTGGCTTCGATGGGACCCCCTTGCTCGGCCAGGGAGGCCTGCACACCGCTGCCCGGGCCCAGGGAAGGGCTTCGTACGGGGCTCCCACGACTTCCTGGTGCGACGATGGGGGCGAACAGCCCAGCGGAGAGCAGTACACGCGTTCGCGGGGGGGTCTCGCCGAAGACATACATCGTCGGCGCCCCTGGACAGATGCAATAGAAGAAGAAAAAGGAAGAAGCATAAAAAGAACGGCATAAGCATGCACATACAACGGTACGCGCGGATGTCCTGGATTTGCGCGGAGCGCCACAAGTTTCTGTTTATGGCGTTTGTTCTTCTTCGATGGATTGCTTCCCCCTGGGCCATTCGCCCCTACCTAGAGGCCTCCTGGATGGGGTCGGGGCAGATGGGGTCGGAAGATCTCACCGCATCGCCAAGACATCGGCGATGCATCGCCGATGCACCAGCGATGCATCGGCCATGCACCGGCGACGTCAGCGATGCATCGGCGACGTCGGCGTGAAGAAAACTGGGCCCCACATTGAGCCGCATCGCCGGTGCATCGCTGATGCATCGGCGATGCGGCGCGATCCCCCGAACCGAACCCATCTGCCCCGACCCCATCCAGGAGGCCTAGACTTAAGTCGGGCCTGCCCCCCTACAGGGGGATTTTCGACGAAAAATGAAAAATACCCAAAAAATACCCCAAGAAGGCAAAAAAACACTCCCAAAACAGTCCCCGGACTATTTTCGGATTATTTTTTGGCTATTTTGGGGGTGCTGTTTATTTGTCGTCGAAAATCCCCCTGTGGGGGGACAGGCCCGACTTGAGCCTCGACCGTCGCCGCGCCCGAGACTTGCCACCGAGGGAAGTAGCTGCTGCAGCTCCCGCCGTACAGCAGGGCGGCGTAGGCGCAGCGCGGCGGCGCGGGGCCGCCCTCGCTGTGGAGGCGCTTGGTGCCCGCGCGCTCGAGGGCCGGCACGGGCGCGGCCGCGGGCGCGGGCGCAGGCCTGCCGCCGGCTGGGGGGGGCAGGCGTTCGGCGGCAACTCGCGGGAGCCTCCCATCGAAGGAGGAGGAGGAGGAGGAGGAGGAGGAGGGGGAGGGGGAGGAGGAGGAGGAGGAGGGGGGGGAGGAGGAGGAGGAGGAGGAGAAGGGGGAGGAGGAGGAGGAGGAGGAGGAGGAGGGGGAGGAGTAGGCGGCAACTCGTTCGGCGGCAACTCGTGGCATCTTGTCGGCCCTTGCGAATCGACGCTAGTCGACGCCAAATCGGCGCTGATCGACGCGAATCGGCGCTGGCCAACGCCGAATCGGCGCTGTCTCATCCGCTCCCAGACGCTACTCGTCGCTGCTCGATGCTGAAGGCAGAATTGCGAGGGTATACCGGGCTCCCATGATTTGCTGCCGAAGGGGGAGGCAGCGGGGCTGGGGCTCAGGCAAGAGGAAGCCAGAACAAGGACAACATCTGGCAGGGAGCAGTCCGGGACCTCTGAGATCTGGCGGTGGCCTGGAAAATGCCTCGAGCGCCGCGGTCTTCCCACAGCGTTCCAGAACGCTCTGAGAGCATTTGGGAACGCTCTGGAAAGACGTTATCCCTGTCCTAGCCTTCTGTCGGGCGTGTCCCCCAACAGGGGGATGTTCGAAGATAATAAAAAATAAGCCAAAAATACCCCAAGAAGGTCAAACATTACTCAAAAATAGTCCCCAGACTATCTTTGGACTATATTTTGACTATTTTTTTTGGTATTTTTTATTTTTCGTCGAAAATCCCCCTGTAGGGGGACAGGCCCGACTTAGTCCCAGCCTTGCCCGCTTAGGTTCCTACAGACTGGGCGCGTTGCTTGTTACGTGGCCTGGTCGGGGATCCTGCCGGTTGTCTTTCCGTTGTCGTTACGTTTTCCTCCGCACGTTTGGGGATATCAGACAAAGCCCTGGTGGCCATGTTCCGGGGTGAAGCTTTTGATGCGCTTTGGCAGAGTCAAGTGCGACAAGTGGAACAGAAGAGCACACAAAAAAACACCTCCAGCGCTTGTCAGAGCGACGAAGGACTGGGGCCTCTTCCCCCTCCTCCTCCTCATCCTCCTCTCTCCCGCAACCGCTGACGCGTCACCCAGGCGCCCCCGCGCCCGCCACGCGCCCCGGGGCGCGACGGCTACACGGAAGCGGTCCCAGTCCTGAGGAGGGGAAGAAAAGGAGGGGAAACTACCCGCACACGCGGAAAGGGCGGAGGCTGGTAGAGCGGCAAGGCCACTCAGTGAGGAAAAATGTGCAGACCGTAGACAGCGTACCTTGCTGGTAGCGTTGTGCACGGATTACCTCGCCCGAAACGCTGTAGACGTAGTAAAACCTGGCGGCGTCCTACGTAGGCTTCGAATGGATGCAGTCGGATGATTGCACCGCATCGCCGACATATCATCGACGCATCGGCGATGCATCGGCGATTCATCAGCGACGTCGGCGATGCTTTGGCGACATCGGCGTGGAGAAGATCGGGTTCGTCATCACTCCGCGTCCTCGATGTATCGGCGATGCATCGGAGATGCGGCGCGATCTTCCGACCCCATTTACTCCGACCCCATCAGGGAGGCCCAGAAAAAAAACATCTTAAGCATTTTGGACGCTCCTCCTCCTCCTCCTTCTCCTCCTCCTCCTCCTTCTCCCCCCATTCATCAACGCCCAACTGATTGAACAGAAAGGCGCCTCAGGTAGGCTTGAATCTGGGAGTCCCAAACTGTAAGACGAAACCAGGACGATAATCAAATCGGGTGAGGATAATCGAGAATCTGGGAAGCCTGGCAGCTCTGGAGGATGTGCTGGGCACCGCAGCCTTCTCAGAGCGTCCGGGAACGCTCTGAGAGCGTTCCGGAACACTCCGGAACGGATCTGTCCTCGTCCTGGCCCCGTCCGGAACTCCCCACCGTCAGCGAACGACGGGTACGTCGGAGCCGGGCGAGCTAAAACATTCGGGGGTTGCGAAAGGTGCCCCTGGCCCAAGGTGCCCCCAGCTTTTCGCTCAATTTTGGAGCTCCTGGGACCCTCTGGACCTCGTGAGGGGTGCTCTGGAGGCCGTAGTGGCCTCCTTGAAAATCCTGGGGGCACCTTGGGCCAGGGGCACCTCTAGCAACACCCGAAACATCGGCAGCTCAGAGTCGGTCCCTGGACTCCTCCCGGGGCTCCTCCAAACGAACATGTTCTCCGAGCTGCGTCCAGCCGTGGCGACGAGCCCACCCACCCCCGAGTGCCGACCACTGGTGTCTCAATCTTACCAGCCTCGAGCGTATCCCCATCCCTGAGATTGCCACGCCAAAAGGCGATGGCAATCTTAGGGATTCGCCCTGAAAAACTGAGGGAATCCCTGAGATTGGCATCGTGATGAGGAGGTGCCCAGCATAGGGATAGGGACATTTTCCAGGCTGGTAACAATCCGCCCCCTTCTGAATACCGAAGGGTTGCTGAGATAAAGAGCGCCACGCAGTGATTGCGTCGTCGGCGAGGCACGAGAAGGCTGCGATGGCGGAAGGGCCTAAACGGGGATGCCGTTACAAGGAGCGCCACACAAGGAACGAACCCCTTTTTGGCCCCATCCGCGCCCGGGTGCACGAGGAGGGCCAGAGGAACAAATGCGGGATGACATCATGAACAGCGGGCCCCTTCCGAACTCAAAACGGTATGGGTGCGCACGGGGAAGCTCGGGAGAGCAAGCACGGAATGCCCCGAGCCCTGTCCGAACTCAAGACGGTCTGGGTGCACACGGGGAGGGCCAGAGGCACACACACGGAAGGACCTGAGGAGAAGCGTGCCCCTTCCGAACCCAAGGCGGTCCTCCCTTCAGCGTCTGTGCCGTTCGACACGTTTTCTGCCGGCAAATGGGGGCCCAGTGTGGCAGAGAGCGGGGGGACGACACCGCAGGACGACAAGAACGACGGACGACAGACGAACAACAAGCGCGCCTGTGCTGTACGACGCGCGCGAACCCGTGAGACAACACATGCAAACCTCGAGCATCCAGGTGGGCGGCCTGGCCGCGGCCGCCGCCGAAGGCCCAGGCGACGCGGCGGCCTGCGCCGCGCAGTGCACCACGAGAGGCCGGCGGCACCAGGGGCACGCGCCAACGTCCTCATTCTGCTCCTCCTTTTCTTATCATCATCCTCCTCCACATCATCCTCACCGTCGTCGTCATGATCATGATCATGAGAATCATCACCGTCATGACCAACACCACCATCATTATAAACGTTAGCATTATCGTCACCAAACTCATCGTCATCATCATCAGTGTCACCCCGCTCGTCATCACCATCAACATGACGATGACATCACCATGATCATCAACGTCAGCATCATCACCGACATGCTCACTGTCAGCATCCTTATCACCATCATCAGCCTCTTCACCATCAGCATCAGCATCATCATCCTCATCATAATCGTCGTCATCGCCAGCATCATGGTCACCATGCTCATCACCACACACCATCATCAGCATCACCACCATCAACATCACCAGCATCATCATCATCATCATCATCATCATCATGATCATAGTTTCCATCATCATGCTGAGGACGATCATCGTCATCAGCGGCACCATCACACACGCCATGTCCATCCTCATCAACGTTCCCATCCTCACACATACACTCATCATCCGTCCTTGCCACTATCGAAGTCACCACCATCAACAGAGTCACCATCACCAGCAACACCACCATCGCCAGCAGCCCAAACGCCCTCACCATGGTATCATCATCAGCACCAACATCATCACCATCAACATAACCATCATCATGCATCCGTGCATCGATCATCGTCGACAACGTCATCATCGCCACCAACACTATCATCACCGGCAACCTCATGGCTGGGGTCGTCGCCGGCCTAAGCAGCATCGCCATTTACATCCGTCCTCCTCGTCACCGCATCGTTGTCGTCATCAACACCACACTCATCACCACCTTCATTATCGTCACCGTCAGCGAGCATCGTCATCATCATCCTCATCCTCCTCATCATCATCATAATCACCATCACCACTCGCAATGGTCATCCCCATTCCTTTACATGCCCGTCTCTGCCGCCGCCCCAACTGCTTTCAGCGGCGCCTGGTGCAGCCCAGCTTGGCCGGGCGCTCTTCCTCATCCACGCGCCACCTCCTAGTGTTGTTGCTCTTCCCGGTCCTCCCCGTCTTTCCATCTCCGGGCTTACTTGGCTGCGTGTTGCCACTCAACGACGCACGTACTACCTCATTCGCATCATCCCTCCTCCCCCACCGCATGACATGATGTCGCGGGAACTGCGGTTTCAGTTGCTTTGGCCTTGTGTACAATAGGTGGCGAAACCAATTTTTCCATATGGAACTCTCTCCTGCGATGCTTGACCCCGCTTGCATGCGCACAAAAACTGCACGCTCAAAACACGGTTCGCATTGCACGCATGCGTGCACCGAAATAGTTTTGGAGCTCGCCGCGTCCATCCTCATACTCGGGGTCATGGCCGTTTCGTGGCGTTGATGGCGGCGGTGTTGCCGATGGTGAAAATGGGGAAGATGGTGACGGTGGCGATGTTGATGATGCTGATGATTATGATAATGCTGTTGTGATGATGAATCTGCTGATGATGATGAGTCTGATGGTGATGATGACGACGACGACGATGATGATGATGATGATGGTGGTGAACCTGTTTTCGCTTGGCTGTGATGATGGTGATGGTGCAGGTGGTGATGATGGTGATCTTATGTGTGTTTGTTCCATTGGCGCCTGCGCGGTGGCCCTGGCTGATAGCCTCGCCACTGGGCCACTGGGCTGCGCTGGAAGCCATGACGCCCCATTGGCCGTGGCTGATAACTTCGCCTGGGGCGCCTGGGAGAGGCCCATGGGAAAACCATATATTATTACGCAGCGTATGGGACCGCGGCGCTGAGACCCGCCCATCAGGGTCGCAATCGACTTCAATCTCGCCCGCGGAGG